CCCCAAAACCCCAAAACCCCAAAACCCCAAAACCCCACATTTACAGATCTAAGTAAAAAAATGAGAAAATGTAATAATTAAATCAATTGTCTAAATCAATATATGATCCTGCTTATTTTTGTACATTTGTAATAGTTGTATTTTAGCAATTTACCTTTAACTATAAACTTTAAGTCTCTCTAGCATATTTCATGATGTTTTTAAATTCTTCCAATTAAAACACAAATTTCTTTTAAACTATAGTTGCTAGGTAGTTTTAGCAAATGATAGATCTTTCTTGTGTGTATACTTCTTCCAAAAGCCTGATTCTTTAATCATCTCCAATCTTTATGCAATACTTTGCAGCATAAAAAAATCGAGCAAAAATAACTAAGCACTTCATCAAATATAACTATTTCTCTAAATCATCTAGGTTATTTTTAGAATTATGATAGTTAAACCTTGAGAGCCAGTCCTAAATTATTAGTTAATAAAAAAATAGGGTATTACTGTAAATATTTTATTAATGATGATTTGGTGAGCTTGGTAAACGCCGTAAAATCTACTCAAATTTAGCTCCTTAAAATCTTATCTTAACTTTTTCCTTAAAATCGTTTAAAGTTCTTTACTGACACTTTTAGATTAAGCTAACTTCATTATCCGGACTTAATTATTCCAATATTGATACCGTGTGCAAATAATTATTTTACTAAAGCACTTTGGACATTAATGTAGATCATATTATTTTAGAGTAGTCATATAAGCTTCTAATTCTTTGAAATGCTAATCTATTGATTTTGATTCAAACACATGGCCACAATCAAGCTTAACAAATTTTGGGTCTTCTAGATTATTTTTAACTTTACATTCTGTCACTTAATCATCTTTGATAGTTAATATTAAAGTCTCTTTGATGCATAAGAAGCATTCGAAATCACATTTATCTCCGCATAAACCAAAGCAATAATGGCCACATTATAAGATATTTTCGCAAGGCTCATTACATAAAATATCGTCGCATGTCTCACTGCACATTTTAGAGCAACTCTTATGAGGACAGTTCAAATCGCAAGGTGTTTAACATTAATCGCATTTTTCACCGCACATCTTTTGACATTTCTAGTGCTTGCATTCATATTAACAACTTTACTAACACTCAGTAGGAAATCCACTACAGTGGTAGGTTTATTTATGACCACAGTTAAGTTATTTTTCTGACTCCTGGATGCATTAGCCATGAAAACTACTCCTGCTACATTCACCACAAGGACTAGGACATTAGTGGCCGCATTGAAGAATTCCCTCACACCTAGTTTTACATCCTAACTCATCTAAATACAATTATGACTAAATTTAATTACCAAACTTTTCAAACACCTCTGGTTTAATGTAGCAACAAAGCTAAGCTTTATGTAAACAAGAAGGCAAAGTTTTTTCTATGACGACTTTACATATATCTCGGTCACAATCAACTTAGCATCTCTTGTTGCAACCATGCCCACATTCTTTCACCTTTTCACAATTCCTTTGACAGACTAAATTAACATTCTAGTAACATTTTAACTCTATGATGTGTTGGCATTTTATGAATTTCAATCTTAAGTCTTTTTAGCAAAGCTATAGTTAAATTTTACATTTTTCACATTAAAAGGAGCAAGGATGTCCACATGGATGAGGTCTGATGCATTATTATTAGCATATATCTATTTTATGACCTGAAGGGTCTAATTGAGTTTTATCATAATCATGACATTTTTTAGGACATTTATGTTTACAAGGCAATTCCTAATTACAAAATTCTTGGCATAATCCATATGGACTTCTATTAAAGTCTTCTGCTTTTGAAATAAGAGTTACATTTCCATGTGATTTACAAGCTAATTCTAAATTATTGCCTAAATATTGGTTTTAACCTAAATAATCAAGTACATGAGTCCAAAGGTTTTAATAATTGTAATTTGATCTTTTCATTGCATTTCTAATTGATTATCCATTTCCTAAAATATACATTCCATGCTTTGCTCTTGAAAGTGCGACATTTACTCTATTATTGATCTTTAAGAAGCCGATGTCATTTCTCGGATTTGATCTGACCAATGAAATTATTATGATATCGTTTTCTTCCCCTTGGTAATTATCAACTGTTACAACCTTGATCTTTTTGATTGGGTCATCTCTAGGGTAGTTATTTTTGAATAGTTTAAAGATGAGATTGGATTATGCTTTATAGAGACATAATATAGTAATTTCAGAGGGGAGATATTTCTATCCGATCAGGTAAAGTGCAAATCTTTCAATGAATTTAGCTTCAAAAATATTCTGTTTAGATTATTAGCCATCAGAATTTTCTTCATTTCTATGGTCGAGAAAAAATACATTTCTTTTTAGGCCCCTTATATTTGGGTAATTTAGGACTCTTTAGTCATCCATGAGAGCAGGATAGAGATATCGAATATTTTAAGAAATTTATGGTCTCATTCTTCGTTATATTGAAAGTGTTACGAATTCATACTTGTTATTAACGAGTCTTTCAAACATAGACATGCTTAAATTGAATTCTTTTTCTAATTCATAGATTGCTGGAGAAGGTTTTAACTGCAAATGATCTCCAATTAATATCATATGCTTTGTATGTTAGCTTATTGCTGCTAAAATGTGAGCTTCAAAAACTTCAGCTGCTTCTTCTACAATTACTGTTTAAAATAGAACATCTTTCATTAAATAACTATTTTTAGCACATCCAGTTGTAGTCATAGCCACTACATCTGCTTTATTCAATGCTTAGGAGTATTACAAACTTTGATAGTTTTTCTTTTGTTCTTAAGCTTGTGTAAATCTCTCTATCAATTTTTCGATTTCTTAGACTAATTAGGGATTATCATTAGAATGTTAATTTCTAAATGTATTGTTCATTTACCATCTTTTTGGCATAGGTAGAGAAAATAGTGGTTGATTAATTTCATTTAATGATTATGCTGGTCCTTAACCAAGCTATGCTCCTTTTTTTATACATTCATTCAAGTTTTTTTCAGTCCTGAAGAAGTTATCTTAAGTTGACATATGGTAGTGTTTTGTCAAATTTTCATATTTCTTTTTAACAATTTCTGCATCGACTTAGTCTTATTTGTTTTCTTAAGACACTTCTTATTCATTTTCATAATAATCCTGCATAATTTGATCAAAATCCTCTTGATTGATTATTTCCTAATTTTCATAGTCATAATAATCTTCATAAAGATTTAAAGATTTTATATATTTTCCAAGGTCAATCAACCCTAACCAGAAAACTATTGGTAAATCTGGTTCTCCTTATATCAGTTCTATAATATATTTTCTTGCATTCTAGAGCAAATCTATATCTCTAATTGAAGGGAATAACCATTAAAGTGTTTATTCAACATATGATGAAAATGATTCCTTGATTTTAAGCAAAAGTTTCTGTCCATCCTAATTCTTCTCTAATGACGTTATGATAGTGAAGTCATTATTTTATAGTTCTGATAATTTTCTCAATATTTAATTTCCTAATTTTTCAACTTCTTTCTTTAGCAGATAATATTTGTTTGACTATCTTCCTGAATTATTTTACACATATTTTGGAAGAGTATGATCAGCAAATTTCTCATTTTTTGACCTACCTCCAACTCTTACAAAATTATCGGTATATTTTGATATCAATTCTAAGAATTAATCAAGTGCATGATTAGTGTAGCAAACTATCAATAGAGGACCCTCTTGAAAATATCCTTTTTTTTTGTTATTTAAAAGTATTTTTACATAGTTTTCTCCAACGTAAGTTTTCCCAGTTCCAGGAGGTCCTTAAATTATTGATAACTCTTTGTAAAGACAAAATTGTAGAGCTGTTAATTGGCTTTAATCAAATTTGTATCCTTAAATACATGTATTTATACTTTGCTTAAATTATCCAAGTTATCCAGAAGACTCTATTCTCAAAATAAGAGGAGGTTTGGAGATAATTCGATTTACACCGCTTCCTACAAGATATTTTGAGAAAGGTAATTATTTCCATTTTGCCATATCTTGTATCTTTTTTAAGACATGTCTATACGCTTCAAAATAAGCTGTTGATTCCATCATTTTAAAATTTTTTCCTTAATTTTTAAGATAAAACTCTAGAATTGATGTGTGTCTATCTTACTCTATTTAAGCGAATTCTATTACGATTTCAGCATATGAAAAAGTTTTTACATTTCTGTCATTCTCAAATTCGTTTCTATCTTAAACCAAGAATATTTCTACTGTTTTAAAATCATCATTTGATAAAACTAGCAAGGATCCAGGCAATAAGAGCTTTGACTATAAGAATTCATTTGATTTAATCTGATTTATTTTAATTTTTAATCCAACTTGGGAACTAAAATGCGGCAAAATTGCCAAACCTATCAAACTAACATCTTGAAAATATCTAACACCTGCCTCTCTAAATTTTTAATTCATCGAAACTATCATTTGGTTTTTTGGCAATTTTTGAAATATTTTGTCTTCTTTGAGTCTAAAGCTAAATAAGCAAAAATTAATTACGAAACAAGAGTGCTAAGTCCATTTCTCAAAGGTCTTATAGCATCTTCTCTTAAAAGTCTGAAAATATTATCAAGATAATCGTGATTGTTTTAATAATTTCCATTTTTAATGATCGGTCTTATGTAAGGATCACTAAAAGCAGTAAATATAATATGAAATTACCTATCTATAGCTAGTTCTATTGGACAAGGAGCTATTGAGATGTCTCTGAAATTCTCTGGCATTTAAAATAAATCTGAGGGATTAGCAATAGAAAAGTTGATCTAATAATCCTGTTTTCTTTCAAATAAATCATTTAAATTTCCAGCTCTAAGTTTCAACTATTTATAAATTTCCCTAAGGTTAATATTCTAATTCTATCCTTCAATCATTTCTTTCAGATCATAATAGATCAGCTGATTGAAGTGTTAAAGGTTGTTGAGATTCCTGAGTGGATAGTTAAATCTTATTATAATTATCTCATAAAGAGAAGTAATCTTGTCCAAATCTATACATTTTTGCCTTAAATCTTCTTAAGGTTCTATGTTATCGCAAAAATTTTCAAGGAATGTTTCTAGATTACTTGTGATAAATTTTGACTCAATGAGCTAATAGTAAATAAGCTAAAGTTCAGCATTTCCGGCATTTTCGAATGTAAATGCTTTAACCAGTATTTTGAAGATCAAAGAGATATCTTCATCATTTTCTAGATGATTTGTAATAAGTGTAGATAAGCTCTCCTTATAAACAAGGTATTCGATCAAATCTTAGCATGATCTTTCATTAAGCATCTCTAATTTCTCATTTGATGTAAGTGAAGTCATTGATCTCGAGTGATTGAACTATTAATTAAATTGATTTCCTCTTCTTATTCTAGATCCTCTTGAATTACTAGAACTACTTTAAACTTGAATAATTGCATTAAGCTACTATTAGTTTTAGCCGCCTCTTCCTCTATTTTATCTTTAAGTTGCGCTTTGACGATAATTTCTGTTGCTCGAATTTTGACTTGATCTTTACATTTTGAATTTAGTTATTTAATAATACATAAAAATATCTTATTGAGTAATTTGAATCTTTCTGATTTTTAAGAAATATATTTATCATCGTAAATGCTGGGTTTTAGGGGTTTTGGGGTTTTGGGG